AAAAAAAAAAAAAAAAAAAAGGAGAGATGCTGAATAGGAGATAGGATATAATTTACTATGTAACATTAAATATCCTGGAAATGTTCTGTTATGAGAAGGAATAGAATTCATACCAGTGTAATGTCACGAGAAGCAGCTGCTGCGCTCATGTGTAAACTCGGTTGTCTAATTGAGCTACTGCAGTCCAATGCTCTTGCAAATGTGCCAACAGCCCTACAAATAAACAAAATGTCATCAGAAATTACAACGGAAGTGGTTTCCAGAGCTACAACAGGAAAAAACAAGCAATTGTAGCTGCTTTGTCTGTTTCTGGACTATATTAACTTACCTGGCAACTACAAGAAACTGGTCTATTTGTCTATCAGTTAAAGGATTCTCGGGATCCCAAACTTTCATCTCCATTTTCTGCTGGTTCCGGTTATCAGATTCACCTAAACATGAAAACAGAGATTAATATAGTACTGGAAAAATTAAAGAAAGGTTACCCAAAGTAAATGTATAGTTTAAAGAAATAAAGATACTGCTGCCACATGTGTAGTCTAGCACAGGCTTCAGCTTGTATAACAGCAGTGTGAACAGTGAGATTTTTTACAGAGCATTTGCAGAGCTTTTGGCAAGATTTGTTAAAGCTCTTAAAGCACCACTGGGCTCCAGTTTGGGGATGTTAAAAACAAATCTTAATGGAAGTGCCAGTTCGTCACTTTAAAACAAGCTGCTAGCAGGCTTTAGTAAGCTTCAGCACAACTTTATGCTTGTTAAAAACCTGCTGGCAGCTTGTTTAAAGTGACAGCACTCCAATTAAGATCTGTTTTAATATTTCCCTACTGGAGCTAAATGAATGCTTTAAAGCTTCAAGAAAGCTGCACTGAAGCCTAAAAGATTCACAAATGCTTTGCAAACGTTAGCCAAAAACCTGGTATTCACCCTGCTCTTATTAAAGCTAAGGCTTGTGTGAACTAGGCCTCAATTGTGTTTACTCACCTTCAGCTAGCTGGTCAGGAATTTCTGCCTGATATTTGGAACCAACTCTGATCTCTCCTTGATCAGCCAATAGAGTCTTTTGCACAGGGTCAAACACCAACGAGTAAAAAAAGCAATCCTAAAAGATAAAGACATTAATGGATGAGGAAGGAAAATGGTAAAGGTGGCTGAAAGAATGAGAATGCTGAACAAAGAATAAAGACTGAACAGAAAAAGAAAAGCTCACCTCTTTCTCCAAATACTGGCTTAAAATGTCTGTCTCATTCAGCAGAGTTACACTGCATTTGCCCCTGCACAGAACACATCAGACATAACAAATGCTTCCAAGGTATTTGATCATCCCAGCCCGTGCAATAACCCAACTCCCAAAACACCCCAACATTTACATACCCAGCAATTACCTTCCACACAGCAGACTGCTCCAATGATACAGTTACATGTTGTATACCGATTTAACAAAAATACTATGCAATCCATCAATACATCTGCTACAAGCATCCAAAAGATCATGTGGCTTTACCTGATATGTGTTGCTGGCAGAGATTCAAACTGTCTGGAAAGAAACAGTTCTCGATGTTTTAGTTGGTGCCTATGTTGATCACCAACAGATGGCTGTTTGGACTCTTCCTCAAATTCCCCTATATGAGGACAAAACAGTGGGGAAGCAGAAAAACACTTGACAGTTATTCACTCTGTAAAATGATTTATATATATATATATGAAATTTAAGTTTTTTTTTCAGTTTTGTATATTTACAAAAATATAGATCGATTGTAGTAATAATTCACAAAGCAATTAAAATCAAAAGAAAATTTAACAATAATATAATAATAATAGAGAAAAAAAAATATATCACACAGAATACTCTAAAAGGAGTACTAAAGGATCCTAGACTGGGGACAGTGCTGGTAGAACTGACAGGTTGATCCTCTATCTTTAAGCAGTGCATATCACATCAACAAGAGCTGAAATGGTCTCTTAGTTTGAAAGTGATGGCAGAAGACTGACTGCTCAGAAGCAGGTCCATCCTGCCAGGACTGGAAGACTGGAAAGATTCAGACAGTGTCAGACAGTGTCAGTGGCTGATGGCTCAGAGGCCTCTTGAAAACACACTTGTGGCCTCTGAGTTAAGAGTCAGCAAACATACCATAAAGTCATGCATGACTGACGTTAAAACCTAAGACAAGAGAGAGGGGGGGGGGGGGGAATCCATGCCCGATGTAGCTATGAAAGACTTCTAAGCTGGCACAGACTCTAGAAGAAGACATGATGATTCCAGATTGCAGATGTCAGCCACATCAGTAGGTATGCTGCAAGCAGCAATTAATTGCCTGTGAGCTAGGGGAAGTTAGGGGCACCCCCATATCTAGAACCAAACCACACCTGCAAGGTGGTAAGGCAACATAGCTCAGGGTACAAGACAAGGCCTCAGGTATTCAAAGCCAACTGCTTGTATTAAGTGTAAAGTCAGACAGTCGAGAGGTTCTCAAGTCATTGTAGGTAGCAAGCAGAAACAGACTGCTGATCAGAGTTCAACATGGCTGTTACAAGCAGTAGGAGTAGCAGCCAGCTGTTTCCTGAACACTAATTTTAAAGAAAGTGAGCAGAGAGCATGCGTGCATGTGACACTACCCAGTGGAAGACATCAGTGCTCTAGCCCTCAATGTTAACCCCTTCTGCGGAAAAACCAACAGAGTGGGAATTTTGAGCGTTAGAGGTAGCTTCCGGTGCTCAGCCTGATCCTATTCACAAAGTGAGTCACTTTAGAAAGAGGGCAAATGCTGAGACAATGCAAGTGGCTCTGAACTCATTTGTTACCAGAATGGAGTCTGAAAAGCACCTAAAGCAGAACCCAGTGCCAGAAGGTCACTTTCAGGGCTAGCCCTGCAATGCCCAGTCAAACGATGTCCGGGTACAGTCCTCCAAACCTAGGCTGAGAAAAAGGTTGATCCTGATGATGACCATCTAGAGCAGCGATGTAGTAAGGAATGTTGATTTAAAAAAACGGAAGAGAAAAAACTGGCAAAAAAATGGTTAGCAGAGTCGAAGAAAAGAGGTCTATCCTCTAGGACACTAGCAAAAAAATAGGACGGGTTACTCCAAACCGGCTACAATTTTGTTTGTCAGCGTCCAAACCTGTAGCTGGCAGTATAACTTGTAATGGCTTCCTGTTACTTAATGGATGAGAAATAAATATCTTTTAACCACCTCCGGGCTGGCCGTAGTAAAAAAACGGCCGGCCCGAGCTCTCTAGATCTGAGCGGGCGAGCGGGAAATGGCCGAAATTTAATAACAGGCAGCGATGCCTGTCACCATACAAGCGATCCGCCGGCTGTAGAGCCTTTCCCCAAATTTTCTGTAATTTTTCCTAATTATAGTAAAAAATAAAAACCCCAGTGGTGATTAAATACCACCGAAATAAAGCTCTATCTGTCCCCAAAAAATGGTATAAAATTCATTTCAGTACAGCGCTGCATGACGGAATAAACGTCAGTCAAAGTACCGCAGCGCTGAATACTGAAAAATGGCCTGGCCAGGAAGGGGGTCTAAACACCTGGTCTTGAAGTGGTTAAAAATAAAATGTAGTTGTCATCAGTCTTTTTTAACTTTATTTACAAAGTAACTTTATGTATGTATAAAAAAAAAAATCAAAACTATTTAAACTTTATTGCCACCAATTGTGGTAAGAGCACATCTAGGCTCAATCTACTTCCAGGCCTCTGTGCCTTAATCTTCCCTATACGTGCCATGCCCCACCATTGTATTGGAAATTCTCTGAAACTGAGAATTCACAAAGTAATCTGGTAGCTGGAATCAACACTCAAGCTACAGATTCATAGAAGTGCATTACACTGAACCAAGCTATGTGTACTTTCAAATATTTGACACAATTGCAACAGTGACACAGATACTCACGTGCATTGCTGTCTGCTAGACTGTTCAGACTGCTGGAGATGTCTCTGCGACGAAAAAGACACACAACCTTGGCTTCAACATTGCCATTTGCTGTCTGCAAAAAAGAAGGCTACATTTTAGCCAAGCAAGTTAAATACCACACAATGGGATTAAAACATATAGACCGTGCAACATCCAGGGCCACAAAAAGGAAATGTTACCTTGTTAAGTTCCTCTATCCGGCGAATAAGGTACGGGTTACTTGAAGAGTTTTCAAAATACACATAATCTGAAATGTAAAAAAAAAAGCAAATTAGGTTCATATGGTAAAACATCATATCACATCACACCATATTATGTTCTACCAGCTAAAACACAGAAAAACAAATATATGATTTTGCTTATATATAACCTAAGTGGCTGTGTACAAGCGGTCTACAAAATGTGTTACACTGCTGCAATAAAGTCCAATTCCAGCTATAAATGGAGGTTGGAGTACAGTAGAAAATTAGAACCTCTGCAAGGTTTTTGCGAATGTGTGGCAGTGGCAGTGTGTCACAGACAGGAACTGATGGGAATTCCCTCCCATGGAGTCAGAGACTGCAAACTTTTTTTTTTTCTGTCAAGTTTCTTATCCCATTAACACTCAATTATTACACTCTTGCCCTGGGGTCACATATAAAGTGAAGAGAAAGCTCCCCAATGGAAACACAAAGAGCAATAAAAAAAAAAAACCTGACAGAAATTCCAACACTTCCCCGCACTACAGAGTCGGGCTAAAGGCATGATGTGCATGCGTTTAGTGTGTTATCACACAGCGCAACGCACCACACACTAGATGTGCTGCCATTAATTTGTATTGTACCCCAACACTTCCCAGTGTGAGTTGCAGTGCAGCATGAGTGCATGATCACAATACTGTGCATTGTGAAGCATGCATTACTTTTTTCACCCCACAGTATATGCTGCTATTCTCACAGCTGATTGGCTGTGCTACAAAAATAGTTGTTCTGCATGTTTTTTAAATGTATTTTATTTAGGAGCAAAGAGCTGCGTTACATTTTTAATGAACAGAGCGCTCCACTGATCAGGGTATGTAGTAGGGTAGGGTATGAGAATGGTGTGTAGAAAGTTTAATCACTTCCCACCTTAAAGTGAAAATGTCTGAACAGTAGTTGAAGTATAAGTCGGCTTATTAAAAGAAAGTTTTGGAGGAAGTAAAAACTGATCACAATGTTCAGCTTTAAAAGGTGAACTAATGGTTCCGGATGATTTTTTTTTTTCTTCTTTTAACTGTTTTGTTTTTCATTATGTATATACAATCCGTGTTTCACAAATATTCATTTACTACAATACAAAAAGGTTCCCATGGTACTATCGTCTGTATGCTGACAGAAGTTGACCATAAGTCACAAGACAAGTGGCCCGAGTGAGGAAGCATAATATGGGCCGTATATCCCAGCGACTAGGGGATGTTTCCCAGTCTCCCTGATGAGCAGGATCTGTCCGGGACTATACTAACCTACAGTAAACACATTACATCTTTAGAAAAACAACAATAATTCAATTGTTTAGGTGCATTGTCTATACTATAGCAATCACAATTGTCATTCATTCTCTCATACAGAACTGGGATTAACAAAGTAAGAAGATTGGTTGCTATGAGCAATATATGACCATAAATGACTTTTCTTCTGCCATTGACATTTCTTCACCTGCCCCCTTTCATGTGGTTTCCATTTTTCTGAATTTGCAGACAGATTTTCCCAGTAAAGGTGCCAACAAACCTTACGATAATCGTACAATAATCGCGGGAAATCCCGCAATCGTACGATTATCGTAAGGTGTGTGGAAGCCGTGCGACCTCTACTACTGTAAGGTCGCACGACTTTTAACTTACGAACATGTTCGAAAACCCGCCGAGCATCATAAGATGTTCGGCGGGTGTGTAGCGCGGCTTGTGATCATCGTAAGTTTTTTTTTAAATTACCTTACAACCATCCCAAGACAAAGTCTTGCAATGGTTGTAGGGTGTGTGCCCAGCTTAACAGTTTTTCTCTGTAACCTGAAGATCATGCAGCCATATATCATCCACTTTCTCCTTTAGGGCTTGTTCACACCATGTCTTTTGAGCTGTCCTTTTCTGCATGCCGCCGCACATGTATAATGTGAACAGGGCAAGTAGAAAACAATGTGCCATGTTCACACCATACATGTGCTCTGCTGTACAAAAAAATGCAGCTCAAGCCCATACACCTTACGATTATCGTACGATAATCGTATTCAATCGACTTTTCGTACGACAATCGTAACGTGTGAATAGAGTGCCCGACCGATAGTACTGTACAATCGTACGACTTTTGACGCTTAAGCATGTTTGAAAACTTTGGTCGATCGTGTTCGCATGGTTGGTGGCGTTTCCATCCGTCAAAAGTCGTACGATTAACACTGCGCATACGAAAATAATTACGGTCAATTACCGCAAGTCGTCCAGGTGTTTTTTTTGTTTTAATCTACTGCTTTTTTTATCTACTGCTGATTGAACCTTGCGATAGTCGGGGCAGGATGGGGCCATCGTACGACGGTTCGATCATCGGACGAAAAGTTTCGTCCGATAATCGTAAAGTGTATGGGCACCTTTAGATTATGCAGCTTTGATATGCAGCTAGCCATACGCCTCACAATCTGATTGAACACTCTTCTTTAGATCTTCAAACAATTATGTAGTAGAAGAGCTGGCAGCACTAGATAACAACCAAGTGGACTTTTTTGCTAAAGTTAAACATACACTTCTTGAATTTTGAGCCCCTACCAGTAAAATTCAAGCTGTACGTGGCCCTCTCAGCACCATTCTGCCTGACAAAAGTTGAGCTGAAAATTGGCGACTGAACAGTGGCCGCCGCCAATCAGCTGCAGTCACTGTTGAAGTATTTTGACAGCCGCTGGTGCCAGCTTTCAGAATACAGTAGCCCAGCCAGGGGAATTTCCCCCATTAATGTCTTTTAGCATGGATGGGGAAACCAGCACAATTTCCTTGTTTAGACATAAACTACCAGTATACGACATAGCTGAGATCGAAAGAATTGCTATTCAAATGTATTTGTACAATCTCCATTAGGTTTACTAATAATACAGTGTGATCACCCACCTATAACATATAGAAGTGATCGGCCAGCTTCATCTCTACATGAATGGCAAAGCCGGCTGAATAAAAAGTAAAACTCACAGCTGCTAATCAGCCACAAGTTTGATCACATACTGATGGTGTTGTGCAATAATAGCTATGGCGGAAGCAGTAGAAGGGTTAATATTACACTCATTTTAGAGACACCTGCCCATCCCTGCTCAAATCTGGATTTGTAGAGAAATAAGTCTTTCTATTTAATGAGCCGAGGGAAGGATTGGCAAACGTGCAGATATTGTAATCTGTATGATGGAGCATTTCTGACAAATTAGAGGTGCTCATGACCTCTCTCTAGAGTAGCCCTAATCTATACAATCCTTGCCCAAGAGTTGCATCACTCCAATAAAACTGGGGCAGGTTTTTATCATTTACGGGCAGCCTATTACTAAGCACTAACCTGAGTGTCACAGCAACAACCCATCAAGGTAATTAATGGCAGAGCTCAACGTTTCACGTGATCGATCACATAAAAAACTGGCCATACACCTTACAACTTTCGTTATGCGATGGTTCTGAGGTGATTAAAAGTTTGTACGACCTGCCCATCTTGGACAGGCAGATTGTACGCTGAGGGGAGGGCTTACAGATGATTGCAATGGTAAGCGGGCAGTTTGCGCACCTCAGGCCGTGCGGCTTTCGTCTTGCGATCGCGCTACCAACCCACCGAAAACTGTATGATTTCCAGCAATTTTCTAGTGTGCTCGTAATACTAAAGTCGTGTGACCGTACAGTAAATGAGGTCGCACTCTGCCCATACACCTTACGATTATCGTACCATCGCGGGATCACCCGCGATTTTTGGACGATAATGGTCAGGTGTATGGGCAGCTTAAGAATTGTCAGGAAGAGCTTAGTACATAACTTGAACAGTCACAACTGAGAATATTCAATCTAACATTAGATCTGTGAAAGTTTACTCATTTTTTATTTTCCCATTATTTAGCCTTAAGCTGGCCATGGGCTTCTATATTTTTGTTATTCTACCTGCAGGCAGAACAAAAACAATATACCAGATACCTGAAAGTAGAGTGCATTAAAGGAGAATTATGAGGCGAGTGATTTTCACTGAGCCTCATAATCTAAGCCGACCTGTGACAATGAAACTGTCACAGGTCGGCTCAGTAGATCGGGAAGTGAGCGAACACATACCGTCGCTCGCTCACCTCTCGATCTTGTGCCGGCAGAGAGCTGTAGCTCGCGGTATACTGAGCTTTGGGTGACGGGAGGACGCAAGTTTGTGTCCTCCCGTTACCCTTAGGAGAACTATGGGGGAAAGCCCTAACCCCATAGTTCTCCTTTAAGGTAAAAAATGCCCCGCCTTTAGTACTACTTTAACCCCTTAGCTACCAGTGATGTACAAAGTATGTCACTGGCACCGGGCCTGTTGAAACAGACTCCCGGCGGGGCCCCGTTTACATTCGTAGAGTCGGCGGCCAGCTTTACAAAAGCAGCGATTCTGGCAGCCGCCAGATCGCTGCTACGGCCCAGTAAAGTGCCTGCAACCCCCCCACGGTTTCTGGGCTCCGCTACCCCTCCTGCGGGCCCTGGACTGGCATCGCAGTCCGCGGTCCGATCAAAATGCTACAAGCACTATTTTGATCGCAGCGCACAGGGCCGGACCGCAGGCACAACATGCCTTGCGTTCCCGTGAGGCGGATCGCATTGCGGCCGGAGGGCGTGGCTACGGCACCATTCACTTGAATGGCCCGCCACGCCCCCTCCTACCCCACTAAATAGTGAGCCGGCGGCAATGCGAGGCAGTGCGTTTCGGCCAAAATCGGGCCGGAACGCACTGCATCTAGTGTGACTGAGCCCTTAGTGGGGTTTTCTCAAAGTGGAAATACTGTTTAAGGGAGCCCCATAGTTGTTTAGTCTTCATTTACTGGGTTTTCTTATCTGAGACTGTAAACACTCAGAAGCTGGAAGACAGGGTATAAAGTCAACCAAGTGACAGAGCAGCAACTCTCAGGCTGGACTCACTTTTGCAGTTTTACCAGATTCATTTTTAATTGAAATCAATGGAAATGCATCTGCACATCAACACACAAACACCTTATATGATTTGCAACACAAAGTGCATTTGAATGCACTTTGTGTTGCAAATC